CTATGACAGTTCCTACTTGCACAAGTGAGGTTATGTTACAGATACATACAGTGAGGTTATGTTATTTAGAGAGAACAGTTAGCAGGAAAGCAATTTATCTTGCATATTAAGAACTATACAGAGCATAGTTAGACATCAAACATTTAATACACCCATATATAGAATTAACAGTATAGTAACCATTATAGTGAATCTTATATAAAGTATGTTTTATACATTCATTACTATGGACTTGTTATTTTAAATTAAATACCATCGACACTTAGCACTCCAGTAATGAATTAATAAACTTGTTTAGGTAAAAAGTGAGGTTATGTTACGTATGCATATACAATACAAGGTCACGTGATCAGCTAAGCTTTAACAGTAGTTGGAAAGACGCTGGAGCTGCAACCTGGTGGAGAATTTGTAAACTATAACAACTGATACAACTCAGAGTAAAACATAAAGTGAGGTTATGTTACTTGGTGGGAAAACAGAGGTTATATCACATATACAAGATCATGTAATCAGCTAAGTATCGGACCCATAAACCTCTGAGCTAACCCCAATCAGGTTAGAATCGAACCCATAAACCTACAGCGCTAACCCAATAGGATTAAAATTGAACCCGTTAACCTCTAAAACTAACCCAACCGGGTTAAAATTGAACCCGTGTACCTCTAAAACTAACCCAACCGGGTAAAAATTGAACCCGTGAACCTCTAAAACTAACCCAATCAGATTAAAATCGAACTCGTGAACCTCTAAAACTAACCCAATCAGGTTAGTATCGAACCCGTTAACCAACCCAACCAAGTTAGAATCGAACTCGTGAACCTCTAAAACTAACCCAATCAGGTTAAGATCAAACCCATTAACCAACCCAACCGAGTTAAAATCCAACTCGTGAACCTCTAAAACTAAACCAATCAGGATAGGGTCAAACCACTTAACCAACCCAGTCGAATTAGAATTGAACCCGTTAACCTCTAAAACTAACCGAACCGGGTTAAAATCGAACTCGTGAACCTCTAAAACTAACCCAATCAGGTTAGGATCGAACCCATTAACCAACCCAACCGAGTTAAGATCCAACTCGTGAACCTCTAAAACTAACCCAATCAGGTTAGGATTGAACCCATTAACCAACCCAACCGAGTTAAGATCCAACTCGTGAACCTCTAAAACTAACCCAATCAGGTTAGAATTGAACCCGTGAACCTCTAAAACTAGCCCAATCAGGTTAGGATCGAACCCATTAACCAACCCAACCGAGTTAAGATCCAACTCGTGAACCTCTAAAACTAACCCAATCAGGTTAGAATTGAACCCGTGAACCTCTTAAACTAACCCAATCAGGTTAGAATCGAACCCATTAACCAACCCAACCGAGTTAAGATCCAACTCGAGAACCTCTAAAACTAACCCAATCAGGTTAGAATTGAACCCGTGAACCTCTAAAACTAACCCATTCGGGTTAAAATCGAACCCGTTAACTAACCCAACCGGGATAGAATTGAACCCGTGAACCTACAGCGCTAACCCAATCGGATTAAAATCGAACCCGTTAACCTCTAAAACTAACCCAACCGGGTTAGAATCGAACCCATGAACCTCTAAAACTAACCCAATCGGGTTAAAATCGAAATCGTTAACCAATCCAATCGGGTTTGAATTGAACCCGTTAACCAACCCAATCAGGTTAGGATCAAATCCGTGAACCTCTCCAATCGGGTTAGAATTGAACCTGTAAACCTCTAGCGCTAACCCAACAGGAAATAACATGTTTTGCGGTTGGTTAGAGTCGAACCTGTGAACCTCTAGGATCAAGGACTCACACTACTCCTACTACAATACAACACTATACCAAAAACATTCCAACCGGAAATTAAACATTTGGTTATTGGTAAGGATCGAACCCGAGAACCTCTGGGACCATAGGCTCATATACAAACGGTGAACTATAACACAATACCATACTGAAACTCAAAATATCACCCCAACCGGAAATGACACGTTTGGTGATTGGTAAGGGTCAAACCCGTGAACCTCTGAGATAAAGGACTCACGCTACTCCCGTTACATTACAACAACATACTAAAAATAAAAATATCAACCTGACAAAAAGGGAAGCAGTTGATTGGTTAGTAAGGATCGAACTCTTCAACCTCTGGGACCATAGGTTCATATACAAAAGGTTAACTATAATACATCACCATACCAACAAAAGAAAACACCCCAACCGGGAATGACACGATTGGTGATTGGTAAGGATCGAACTCATAAACCTCCAGGATCATAGGTCCACATTCTAAACAAGTTACAGTAACTACTCCTACTACGATACTAAAACTCAAAATATCACCCTAACCAGAAGGGAAGCAGTTGGTGGTTGGTAGGGATCGGACCCGCAAACCTCTGAGATCAACTACCCAAACTCCTCCCACAACAATACAACACTATACCAAAAACATCCCAAGCGGAAATGAAACGTATGGTGATTGGTAAGGATCGAACCCGAGAACCTCTGAGATCAAGGACTCATACTACTCCCACTACGTTACAACACTATACAAAAAACACCCCAACCGAAAATGAAAGGTTCGGTGACAGTTACTTAGTATTTAGCGAATAGTTAGGATTCAACCCGCAAACCTCTGAGATCAAGGACTCACACTACTCCCACTATGATACAACACCTTACAAAAAACACCCCAACCAAAAATGAAACGTTTGATGACAGGTAATTGGTATTTGGTGAATAGTTAGGATCGAACCCGTGAACTTCTGGCTCATACACAGCTTCTTACACAATCAACCGCTAGGAAAAAACATTTACACACTCCCGTTACTCCGTTAGACACCCCAAATATACATAACATCCATGAAATGTCTATATAACGTTCAACATTTGGTGGCCTTTACAAAGGCCGTTTTTATACTCGACGGTAAAGTTCCGCTTAAGCCTTCTTTCAGCTGTTTCTAACATTAGATACGTGAATTATAATTTTTTTTCATTTGTTATACACTAAAGCATATATATGTAAAATAAAATAAAATTAAATGTTTTTTTTACAAAGAATCAAACTCGTTAACCGGTAATGACATGTTTTGTGATAGGTTAAAATCGAACCCGCAAACCTCACACTACCGGAAATAACCCATAGACCTCCAACCAATATTTACACACCCTGTATATGTAAGTTAAGGTGTCATTTACCACTATAAACTCAATACCTAAAACTAGCGTCGTGGCTCAGTAGCTAACGACCCCGACAACCATCTAAAAGATTGGAGTTCCATCCCCGGTCAAGCCAACACTTTTTATCCATAATTAATTTAATATTAATATAAACACCTACGTCAGCTGATCATGCGCAGTATCAATTTTGTCCGCAATCGCCGCCACCCCTACTCTCAGAGAAGCACCGATTAGGAACCTCAATAATATCTTGCAATAAAGGTCGGTAAAGCAATGGTATTTTACTTTGATTTTTTCCTCAAAAAGCCACCTAGAGACTCCCACGTCTAAAGTAAGAACTAGGATGAATAGGCTACTTTAATTCAGCTTGCTGGATATTCACAAGGAACCCACGCAAAAGCTCTTTGTGATACCGATTAGACCGTTGAAGGCTGCCAAGAATTCTGCTTCTGTTAGAACGAATCTCCTTTGTTCGTAAGATTGAGGTCCAACAAAATATGGCCATTATATTTTCCAATAATGGTGAGAATGGTATGCAATGTTATTATTAAGAGCTTTTGGATACCAAATTGTCAAAATATATTCAAAGTTAAGTTTTTAAAATTAATCAGCATTTTTAGTTTTGTATAATAAATATATATTATTCACTCACATGGAGTGTTCCTCTCACAGTACCTACTGAGGTAGACGTTTTATCATGTAACTGTGGCGTGGCATTTTAGTCAATAAATACTTCTATTTCTACTTTTCGGTGGATCGCCTAAACTTCACGGTATGCATGAAGTTTGAAACTAATAGGCTTTCGTTTTAAACTTTAGGTGAGATCGAGACTTTTGTAAAATAACAACAAAGGCAATTGCGTTGTGCATGGGGTTTAAGCTGGAACCAACTCTGAGTACTGGTTGAAGAAACCATACGATATAACACACCGATTAAGACTCAATGTGAATTGTGTTCTAGATTTACAAAGCTAGAGTCGGTTGAATTACAACCTGAATATGAAATTCTAAAGTAGTTTTCTTGGTAAGAGATGTTTCCGTGGTTAGGGATAAGTTAGTTTCCAAGTTATCTAAACAGGAATACCTTAAGATTCTCGTTTTACTGTTTTCGTTAGTGTAATTGGGTCACCAAAATAATGTATATTCTTAAAGTTGTGGTTAGTTTGTTTGAAATAAAAAGCAATCCTTCTGTTAATTCTATGATTTTTTGTTTAAGTCATACTTACGATGATGTTTAATTGAAAGGCTTGTATACTCATAGAAAACTTTTCAATAGCAGCTGAACTAGTCACAAATACTAACCTTCGTAATACCTTGATTTTTGCATTTTATAAGATCCCAGAGACCTTTTAAGCTAAGTGATAAATTACCTCTATTACTTATAATACAACGAAAGAAACCTTACCCTCACAAAAGGCTTTCACAGGTCACCATTTCGTAATACACAACACACGAAGCGCCTGTCACAGCTCCAAATATACCCAAGGCTCTTCAGACAGTGTCTTATTTAAGTTTTAGCATGAAACGTAACATTCCCTTCATGTCATTCAAAGTGTAGGCCATTATGACCGAGATATACTTTCTAATTTGTCCAATGACAATCATGATGGTGCGCCAAAAGTTATCTTTGTCATATGGCTTTCATCACCAGTAGTAGTAGTGGATTAAACTAACACATACTTCATAAAATAAATATTCAAAAACATCAAATAATTTAATCACTCCTCCATTGGGTTAAAACCAGTTGGTGACTATTTACACTATTTCTGTATTCATGAAATTTAATCTAACTCTAAATTTATCTTTAGACTACCAACCATGTTCTCGTCCTGTTCGGGTCTGGACATCTGCATTTTTCGCTTATCTGCAGAAGCAGAGCCAGAGTCGAAGCTTCGGTGGATGCCTATGGCGGGGACCTCCACCTCCGCGTGAACGTGAGTCGCGGGCGTAGCCCCTGGCTCTTGTTTGGAATCAGCCACTATTTCCACCGTCTCTACCTTCTTGCCGTTCTGGCTCACTGAAACAATGTTCCATAAATAAGTTGAATCCTGCTAGACTAGATAATGCAGATATACCTAAAACAATTAATTATTTTGTAGTTTTTTTTAGTACACTCGTAAAAATGTAAGGTTTTTGTGCTTCTGGTACTTAAACCCTCAAAGCTTCATGTAACCACCCATTTATTTATTGTTAAATTTGCGTACTTACTATATTCTTTCACGGTCAGAATCCCATAGCTTTCCCAATCTCCTTTAATTGGAATGTGATTCGGACCATATTAAGTTTTGGTAGAATAATTATTTAATTTTCATAATATTGCCAAACACATACTATAATACCTATAAAAAATATTATATATTTTTATATTTGTGATAGGTGTTATAATAGTTTTGGTTAATATTATCTAAAGGATATGGGTTTTTACAATACTTAACACTGGCTAAAAAATATTGTAGTCTTTATAGAAAATGCTTAATTAACTGTTTACTATATATTTACCAAAACCGTTTTGTAAAAAAAATGATCGTGTCTTAAAACTGCGTCAATGATTTTAAATGTCTCATCAAGTTAAACATTTAAATGTGTGTTTTAATTCTGCTGTACACGTAAACAAACGGTTATTTTTTCTAAGAAAATTACATTATGCTTATCGCTATCAAACCAACCTAAAAACAAAACTATTTAATGTTGCCTCGTCAGACAATCCTTAACGTAGTGTTGATGTTGCTACATATGTTTCGGTGGTTATTTACTGATCTCCGCCATCGTCAGGCAAACAAAAGGATCCACTTGATGTGTCGTCAGAATGAATAAATAAAACACACATTTTACAAAACACAAAAACGAAAATGATAGGCCTATCATTTTCGTTTTTGTGTTTTATTTATTCATTCTGACGACACATCAAGTAGATCCTTTTGTTTGCCTGACGATGGCGGAGATCAGTAAATAACCACCGAAACATATGTAGCAACATCGACACTACATGTTAAGGATTGTCTGACGAAGTATGTTTTAACCATTATATGTCATATTACGCAATCCTGGGGCTATGAAAATGAATTTTAATTTTATTTAATGTTGATATTTAATGTTATTTAATGTTTTATTTAATTTTATAAAACCTTTGATATGATTTATTAGCAGAGTTGCATAACCAGTAACGGAATACGCCTCCACATAAAGAGGGGGACATATTTGGGTTTTAATCCTTACAAAAACAACGTATCTCCTCACTTCATTGAGATAAAATGTAATAATTCTCATATATAACGGTAGCTTATATCTACTAGAACTGCTAAACTTGCATTAGCACAATAAAACAATTTATTTCCAAACGATTGTTTTGCAGCTCTTTATTAACGCTGTAATATATCTTTGACTAAATGACCCCACACATATTGAGGCACACATACTGACACACATATTGAGGTTAAAATAAGTGTGTATGTCCATTAAGAGAAAATCAAATTCTAACTCTATATTATTTTGTACACGAGTACTTTAATCGAAATGTATATCAGCTCAAAGAAATCAGTGTCTTCGTCTTCAGGTTTTAGCGCCGAATATATTTACACTTACTTACCTTGGTGTTTGTTTTCAATATGACCTTCGCGGTGGCCATTCACATCACTGAAAACTCGAGCACTGCTCTTTTGCATCGATATAAGATCTGAAAAATATAATGAGAAACTTTAAACAGTTTTTAAAATAATTGAATGTAAGTATTTAATTATAATTTATAATGTTGATAATATTTCCATGGTAAAATTTTACTTACATTACAATCTTTATACACATGCATTGAGTTAGTTGTCATGAAAATAATTGAGGGAAATCACTCGGATTCTCAATGGGATAGCAATAAGGTACATTTATATACAGTGAAAGATTCCCACGTTGCACTTTGTAGTTGATTACCTTTACAGTAAGTATTGATGGTATTCTTTCACATTAGCCTACTCCAACAGATATGAAAGCGGTCGAATAAAATAGGATCAATATTTTAGAGGTATTTGCTGTTATTTGCCATTTATTGATGTTACAAGCGAATTTACAAAAGGCAAAAATCTATGTTATGCTAAAAACTTTGGTATTTATTAATAATTAGATGACAAGGAAGAAACCGTTACGACTCTAGGTCTATCAAACCTACAGTAACATAATTTTGAAATACTTGAAAAATGTTATAAACCCATCCGTTTTCATGAAATTTGTATCCAAATATGTTTAAATGGCAACCAAAGTGTATTGGCTTTGAAAGTTACAGATTTAAAATAAAACTACTCTGTTTGTGGAATTAGGTATGACTAATATAATTTGGTTTACTGAATTATAACTTAGGAAAATGATATGATTAATGTGCTCTAATATACAGGGTGATTGATATAAGTGTGCCAGCCGTTTTATTCGAAAACTATAAGAGATATCAAAAAAAGTTAAATGGTAAGTGCCTTGGATTTTTTATTAAAAAATTTTTGTCAAGTCAAAAAATTATTTTAGCCGCCATTTTTCCAATATGGCCGCCAACATTGATTTTTCTTACGGAACACCCTGTATTTTATTATGTATTCTGGTAGAAAAAGTAATTTTAAGACCATTTTATTCTTGTCATTTTTTTCATAAACCTAACCGTTTCAAAGATAATAATGGTTAAAGTTTTGAAATTTCTGCATGAGAAAGAGTTTCGATAAAGGCTTTCCACCATTCAAAATTTCACAACTTAAACCATTATTATCTTTGAAACGGTTAGGGTTATGAAAAAAATGACAAGAATAAAATCGTCTTAAAATCAATTTTTCTACCAGGATACATAATAAAATACAGGGTGTTCCGTAAGAAAAATCAATGTTGGCGGCCATATTGGAAAAATGGCGGCTAAAATAATTTTTTTGACTTGACAACAATTTTTTAAATAAAAAATCCAAGGCACTTACCATTTAACTTTTTTTGATATCTCTTATAGTTTTCGAATAAAACGGCTGGCACACTTATATCAATCACCCTGTATACACAATGCTAATGTTCTGTGTCACACTATATACCGTCAATGTATTATATGGAATTAAATCAATACCGTTCAGTCATAAATCACATCACTGCTTGGCTACATCGAAATGCTTTCAACTATAAAAGAGACACTTTTAAGTTGGTTTGGGGTAAGACTTTGCGTTTCCTATCTGAAACAGATTTAGGGAATATCTTTAAAACAACTTCTGGTGACAAAACTTTACCCCATAATTTCAAACAGGTTTATCACTAATAATCTCTAAATATTTTTGGACTTTTCTGAACATGGTTGAATATCTAGTTTATAGGGTAATCTTTGTGATATTCTATTATTTACTCTTTATTAGTTACTTGTGTTAAACCTAAACTAAGGATATAAGGCGAGACTATTATTGTTCTTTCCTTACATTTAAGAGGCTTTCAGGAACGGGCAAAGATATATTTCCCAAATGTTTCTCTCAATTGACGGTCAAACACTTTAAAACAAGCCTTTATGTGTCTAGTCATTATTTTTTTACTATAATCCTTTAATTTATCTCGATTTACAGCCATTTTACGAATTTACCTACAGGGAAAACAGCTATTAGCGTAGGCAGCACGGAAAGACCTGGGGCTGATTTACCTTGTTGATGATCCTAGAGGCCAAAAACACTATTGGTTCAAAGTTTTATGTTTGTGTTTTATGTTGTGTGTTTTCAAGTCTTTTCCAAATTTGTACCATTAAAACATTGAAATGCTCAATTTTCGTGCATATATTTCACTATATATTTCTCGACGGAAAATGCCACTTTTTCCCCCTAGTAATGAAAAATACTATTCCCTTCCCTGTAGCAGCAAACTTAAGTCCTCGTTAAATATAATTTCACTTAAAGAGGGGATGAATAGGACTTGTTAATGGAAAAATGTTAGTTAAAATCTAATCAGACAAATTGAAGTTAGCTTACTCTGCAGGTTTGCTGAGGCGGGGTATTTTTACTTGTTTCGTAAACGTTACAGTTTAGTTCGTATGATGTGGTGAGGTAATGCACTATGGACATAGACACTGCTATTGATTTTATCAGTTTGCTCTTTGTCAAATACTGTAGTAATTAATGAGCAATCGCAGTATTGTACCGTGACATAAGTCCGTGTTGTATACAGATTTTCAAACAATTACCCTGAAATTTAGAATTTGTACTTTGTTCGATAAAGTTAGTTTTTTTTCTCCCAAAATGCAAACAAATTACTTGTTAAAAGTATTAGTACTGTACCAACATTTCGAGCCATGAAAAAATACCTTTTCCTACAGTTACCTAACAATGTACATGTTCTCCCACTGATTTGAGAAAGCAAAGTGGCCAATTCGCTCATCAGTGAGACAATGTTAACATTGTCTCACTCTAATTACTTTGTCTCACTCCAGATTTGCAACGTGAAGGCACGAAATAGTGAGCGCGTAACATGCAGGCAACGTCGTATGCGCGCGAAATACGTTGGCAGCACTGGTTGTAAATCAGCTGGTCAGCTGTTGTACTGTTGTATTTGTCACTTCACATTAAATGTTATATTAAAAGTTCACTTCTGTGTAAAAATAGGTTATGTTTCTTCACAAATTTATTTGTTTTATGGTAACTGTAGGAAAAGTATAATGTGCAACTCGAGTTCAAAGTACAATTGCCTCACTCGAGAAACCATTCCACGGCGAGTGAGTAAGGATTTCTCTCGAGTGAGTCAATTGCTCACTTTTCTCACTAGTTGCACAAATAACTATTTATAATCTTATAATGCTTCTAGAGTCTGTTAAAACAATATTTTTTAAAAGACCGAACCTGGGTACTAATATGTCTTTAATGTATTAATAATAAATACTATTACAATAAATACTGTTAATTGGCTTGTATCCTAACATGATTAATCTTAGTTTAAATTGTGGCAAAATTTGGCCACTTTAATTTGTGTGTTTTGAGATAAGTCTTACTATGATTACTGTAAATTATATCATAATAGCTTGTTGCTGTGATTAATATTCTTTACTTATCAAAATTAAATAGAAAGGAACAGTTAATCACCTAATTAAAACTAAAACTAAAACTTTATATGTACCTGGGTCATTCTATTCATTCGCAATACTGAAGATATGATTTATTTAGTTATAAGGTAAATTGTGATAGTTTCAAAATATTTATCACATTTTAATTGCTAAGAGAAAGAATCATTTTAACTCCGGAAAATCTTTATGTAAAGAAATAGGCTAATGTTTTTGGGTAATCCATTAAACAAGCTGTTGTTGTTTTTACTAGCCCGCTGAGATTTTTCGAGCTTCCTGGAAATTCTTTTACACACAACCTCGTTTAACAAGTAATTTCGCTACAGAGTAATAATAGTCGGCTAAACATAACATTTTGATTGTTTGTCAAGTGTTGCTGTTCTTATGGATTGTAAATAAAAGTAAATTGCCAATTAAAATGTATGTATTCGCTTATACTGTATCAACATTCACGATTGTAAAGGGATTTATAAAATAGGTTTAGTTTTGATTTCCTTCAATTAAAAACTTTAATCCCCATCATACCCAATAGAATGTTGACTGATTCCGTTGGTTTTAATATGTAATTGACTATGGTTTTATCAAAATTAAGATAGAACATGCATACATAAGCATTACCATTTATTGAAACAATAAAACATTTATTTACAGTAGACTTTGTGGATAACAGTCCATTCCCACATAATGGGTGCCATAAATGTCACCAGCATACGACTGTTGCGAATATGAGTTCCTAAACAAATCAAACTGATGGAAATCAAGCTTCATTTCAAAAGCAATTGGAAACTTGGCTATAAACGTTCTTAACTTTGCAACACTCTATTGCTTGAAGTTATTTTAATGTGTCATCACCAGGGAATGCATTTTTGGGCCTTTATCCTAGTGAAATTCACCCTGGTTTCAGCAATTGCTTTTGAGGAATATAGACAAAATTATGTATGACAAATGTTAACTTTAAAATATTAATTATTTGAAATTATGTTAAAGATCAAGCGATTAAAAGGGTTTTTGTTGAAATCAATACATGAATCTCATATGTACATTTCAACAAGAAATGTTTCCTTAATTTAATTAATAAGTCACAATAAGGGCTACTAGTATTTTTCCAAAAGGAAAGCTAGTCATATGTGATTGTTTATGAAAATACTGTTATTTTGTGTTTACTATTGACGATGTCTGTGTATTATGATACACAGACATATATATATTATTTAAGCATAATAAGATTATGGAAGTTATTTTTGCATGGCTGGGATTGTTGGTACGAAAACTTATAAAAAATAAATTGCAATTTGGGAGAAGATAAAAAAAAACCTAAAAATGTTTATACAGAGTGTCCCAGAACTCTCTACCAATATTTTAGGGCATTGTTCCTGGGTAAGAAACATATTCAAATATCATATTTAAATTGTCCGGAAGTCCTTAGTTACTCAGATAGCCGCCATTTTGTTTTTTTCACTTATTATTTTTTTCTGAAAATTGGTTAAACATGCGAAGTTGAAACTTTGCAAAAAAATTTATGACAACTAGACAAAGCTACAAAAAAATTGTGACGACTTTTTCAAATTCATAAAACAAAATGGCGGCTGTTTAAAATTTTGTTTCTTAAATTACTCGAAAACCGTTAATTTTACAAA